CGGAGTGAAAGCTCCTGAATCCTTTTGCCACGTGTTTTGATCACTGGACGTGTATGGTTAGAAGAAAATTTGTGTATAAAGTCGTGAGAGAAATAATATTTTTTGACGACGAGTTCCTAGTTTGATTCTCACGTTTTTCATCCAGTTTTAACCATGTCTTTGCTGTTTATTTCGTTTTTTTCATATTGGGTAAATTCCTTTCCTCCGAACACGTCCATCATTAACAATAGACCCACCGTGCTGTGCATTTTAACTTTAGGGTGAATATGTCAAAAACGCCCCCTTTAAGCGCGAAACCTTCTGACACTCAACCCAACACAGATTACTCAAACCTTTGGGCACCATCATGTAGCTCATTCTTTTTACTACGCTTTGAGGCCAAGAAAAGACACCTGCGTGTGGTATTTAACCCCCCAAAAAGGTTTTCACTTACCCTTACAAAAGGGCGTTTTGCCCCACACCCTGGGTAATACGCCCACACCCATGTGCAAAGCGCCCCCACACCATCTATCAACAGAACATGATGAACATGGCAGAACTTGACGTCATTCTGACGTCATTTGTGGTCAACCTATCATAGCCTTTGGAATAAAATTTTGTTGCAATGTGTAAAATGGATGCCCGGAGGAGTCCTGAAAGTTTGGTGACGATATCTGCAGTCCTTTAGGATATATCAGCAAAAAAGGACAGGGAAAAGCCTTTTCGGCCCCGACCTACAGGGCGCTACCCTGCACTAGAGTTCTGCACGGCTGCAATTTTCCACAGCCTAGCCGCCCCGCAGCCGTGGCTCCACAGCCACAGCCGCCCACAGCCGTGGCAAACTGTGGGCAGCCAGCCGTCAGCCGGCCGTGGATACTTTCAATGAAATGCAACCAAATAGTATATAATAAGTTGTTTTTAGTTGAAACATATAGCCAAAAGCATATTGCAATGGGCTATAGATTCTCAAGCTCATGAAGCATCATAGGTTAAGTGGTTGTGTATCTGGCTTTAGGCGGAAGGCCTGAAGCCTGATGCGCATCGCATGCCTACACAAGCCCTTGCAAGGGGTTAAGAAAGATGGGTAGGTAGGTACCTACATCAACAGAAACTATAAACAACGAACCAGAATAGAAGCACTAGCAGTGTAGACATCTAATGCCAAATCCTGAAGCATGGTTGTGGGACAGAACAACAGACCCTGATGCTTTTCATTATCAATGTTAGGTATGGAAAATGAAACTGAAGTTGATGGACTGTCAAAAAGTGATTGTCTAGTCAAAACTCTTGCTTCTTTCTTACCTTGCATATTTTCTGGGGTGTGATATGCCAGGCTTGAAGCAGCCTTCTGAGCAAGTCTCAAACTATTTTGATATGCAAGGCATCAAAACACTAGTGAGCATCCAAGAAAGAAAAACATTCATCTATTTTGATTTTTCCAAATAATGATCTTCGCTCAAATCCCCAAGGACGTGCGAGCCACAATTGCCTCTTTCAATCAAAAATTTCACTTGAGTTTTTAATGACGTCAATAGCAAAGAAGTGGCAATAAATTGTTTTATGTCACTATAAACAGCCATAAAAATTATAATCAATAAATAATAATGCTAAACAGTAGAAAACTTGCTCTCAAACAAAGATTAACCCGGCCGGGCCCGGGGGGTAATCCCAACCACCGCAGCCCGGGGGGGGGGGCGTTTTTCGCCCCCCTGTCTAACTCCGTAAATAAGGAAGCTACGGAAGCAAAAGCGGTACCAAACGAAAGGTCCTTACGAGACGATTCTAAAGTACCTAAAATTTTTGACCTCAGGTCAATTTTCAAGGTCAGAGGTCAAGGTCAAAGGCAAAAACCGGCACACGTGTAGTGATCTCAAAATAAGCCTTCTAGAGGACGGCAGGCTGCATCAAACCGGCAAAATTGGGTGTCAAACGAAAGAAGAGAATCTGAGAATTCCGAAAATGTGCTTAACATTAAAGGTCAAGGTCAAGGTCACGCTCAAAATTGACCTCAAACTTGGCACTTTTTCGCGCATCTTGTGTGCTAGCTTCCAAGATGTTTTGAAATGTTTTGAGGCTTATCAGTTCCCTATTTGTGGTTAATCTTACGATAAAAGGCTGCTCAAAGGTCAAGGTCACAGAAGAGTATCCCTGCTAGAGGCTATTTCACTGATTCAAGCTAGTAATAATAAATAAGACAATTTTGCCGTCCAGAAGCTCTAAATGAAGGCTTAAAGGAAAATAGATGCCAGATTCGTGATCAGCGGGTACAAGTTTATCATATATGACCTCTCATGTGTCAAGGTCAACCAGAGGTCATTCGAGGTCACATGAGGTCAACATAAAACTTGACCTTTTCCGAACAAAATATATATATATATCATTCGACGCGGCTTGACAAGGCGAATGCGATGGTACCATTGCCGTAGCTCTAGGACCTTTTTTGTCAAAGTTATTTACGAAAAACTAAAATCACATTTCGGGGTCGTTGACCTGACCTCTGACCTCAGGTCACCAAAACTATTTTTCTATTTTTCTCTAGATCAAATGCTACACAAACATGCTCGTAATTTGTCTTTACCTCTAAAACTCTATTTTTAGCAGCTATTTGAAGTTTGCGCATGTGACGCCGAAGTTTGCCGTGCAGGGGTCTAGAAAAATGGACCTTGTGACGTCATCAATGGGGCTAGCTAGGTCATTTTTTTTACTTCAGAAGATGTCAAATTGATGGGAGAAAAGGTACTAAAAGTTTCGCTTTCCTATCCTTAAGCGTTCGGGGAGCTATCGCAAATATTCGCCAGGGGGGGCGAAAAACGCCCCCCCCGGGCCCGCCAGGGTTAATTATCAAATTTTTACGTTTTCAGAAGAAGACGTCATTTTATTATTAAAGTCAACAGCTCGCGTAAGAAATATTGTGTTCAGGGTTTTCACCGTCATGTGAATTACGTGTTCAGGGTTTTAACCATCATGTGAATTAACCGTAAGTAAGGTTCATGCTCACTTATAATCCAATTCCATTGGCTTCGTTGATTAGCATTTTTTGTTAGCGGTCACTCACACACCAGTTAGAACATAGAGCGCCAGTTTTATATTATGTAATTGGACTTGCCGAAAATCCAGAAATACATCTAAGAGTTATTTTAGATAATATTTTATGAAGCCTTTTCCTGCCTTTACCTAGACGTGATTTCTTTTTTCTATTACCTGAAAAAAAAAAATATTGAACGCTCGTCTTCAATAGCTGTAAGGTGCCCTCCTAATGACCAGGTGAGATTGATTTGAGAGGGATGTGACAATGCAACATATTGCATTTTCTGAAACTGTCAAGCTCTTGATGATGAAGGAACAATCGGTACCTATAATTAGTATTCTGTACCAGAGTGCAAACTCCCCTACAGCAAATGGTAACACCATTACAGGTTTTCAAAGGCTTCACCACTTTCAATGTTGCTGGGCATCCTTTGCATGATTTTTACAGGCTAGACTGCTTATCAGAATGTAAGATTGAGGATTTAAAATTTTATATTTGAGTACTTAAGATTGAGCTTGAAATCTCACAGCCGTGGCCACAGCCGTAGCCGTGTTCTTGGAGATATTTGCAGCCGCCCCGGCCCACAGACGTTGGGCTGCAGCCAGCCGCGGCTGCAGCCGGCCGGTGCAGACCTCTACCCTGCACTCTCACCACCGTGCAAAACGTCCCCCTTACAGAAAACTGGGGGCGTCTTGCCTCATGCATCGAGTAGGCGTCTTTTCCCATCCACTCCATTTCCGGTCAACAAAATATTGACAAAAAACGCGCCACTAACGCCGCAGCATAATAAATTCAACAGAATGACAATAAAACGCAGCTTTGAGTGATGTGCACAATAGCAAGTTTTGTGATATAAAGAGGGCATCAAAAGCTTAGGAATCTTCTGTAAAAACAACAAAAACAACACCCAAAACCAACATCAGCACCTACCCACGCTGCTCCTCAACACGCAGAATCGGAAACAGAAACCTACGTAAACAAGCAGCTGACTGTTCTGAAAGACAGGATAAAACACCTATTCGTCGATAAGAAATACGATTTTTTTAGGGGAGACGTTTAACCCAGGGGTGCGTTTTCCCCACAGTTACCCTACCTTGCCCTTTTGTTTTTTTTCCTGTACTGGAATCATACCATAGCTTGATGATTATTCGTTGGGTTTCATCGAAAGGATGCTTTAGGCTCACATGTTTTGATAGCGAGTGAGAGTTTGCTGTGCACCAAATGAAAATGTCAATAAATGGTTTGTTCTATTCGTATATAACAGTTTCGAAAGAGGCAGAGTAATGAAGGTTTCCGCGGGGGTGTAATGGGGAGTTACGTGGGGGGGGGGGGAGTAATGGGGAGTTCACACGAGAGTTCCGTGGGAGAGTTATGAGGAGTTCACGCGAGAGTTCCGTAGGAGAGTAATGGGGATATAACGGGAGTTACGTGGGGGGAGTAATGGGGAGTAATGAAGAGTTCTAGGGAAAGTAGTAGAGGGGAGTAGTGATGGGTCGAGAGAGATATGAAGAGTAATGGACGAGAATATTGAATTGATCGTTCCAGTAAGAGAGGGAGAGTAAAGGAAAGTAGCTCCCTGGTGTTTTAAGGAGTCATTTTTGGTAACTCTCGATAACTCTCCCAAAGGGAGTAAATATTTCTCTCAGTGTACTGGTGGTCTGAGTTATCGGTGGTGTGCTCGAAGGCGGGGGGCATTGAAGAAAATGATTGGTTCATTTCTTGGGCGAGGTCAAAGATGAGGTCGCCAAAAGTCATCTAAAGTCAATTTTTGCCCATTACAGCTTTTGAAACACGGGCGCGTAACTAGGGAACCAGTAAAGCTACAGCGTCGCGGAAAAGCGTGTTTGTTGGAGCTGATTTTGAATTAAGCAACCATTTGAACATTTGCGAACTAGTTTGGTGCCCTCGTTACATGTTACATGTTACATGAACTGTCAGTGGTGGTCCCTGTCAAATCACTACAACAATATATTGCAGCATTTTTTCAACTTACCATGCACTTGCAGACTTAATGACCTTCGCCGTCATCGTGTCATCTTTAGAAAATGGGTGTTTTCCCTTGGAGAGAACGTAGTAGAAGACCAGGCCGAGAGAAAACACGTCTGCTGCCCCAACCTGAAATCAGAAATTATTTCAAGTTACGGCTTTGGCGCAATTTTTAGCATAGGTAAAAAATTGTTCACCCCTTGCCCTTCAGCCAGTAATGGAGAAAATAACTGACCGAAGAGCTAAGAGAAAAGGGGAAATTATCTATTATTATCAATGATCTTTACATACAAAATACACATACACATAATCTTTTACATGCATGGCCTTCCCTAGCATCCATGTTCACTTTGAAGCTACAGTTCTTACCACGCGCAGTGGAAGCGTTCCGGGAACTATGCCCACTGGATGGGGGGGGGGGCGAATGCCACTCCCCCTAAGATCTCAGCTCTTATAGAAGCTAGGAAGACAAAATTTGGAGAGTATGGAATGTGAGTGCCCAAATCGGCAGTAGTGGTTTTTCCATTGAGGCACTTGACGCAGTGCCTCACCAGCTTTTGGGTAACAAACTTTTATTGGGTTGCTTCCTTTGTTTTATTCTTGGCTTTTAGGCCATTAACCCCGCAGGCGGTGGGCCTCCCGACCACCTTCCGCGCGGTGGGGGTGGGGCATTCCCCCCCCCGTATCTCCAAAATACTGGAGGGATCCGGGAAATTCAAACGGCGTTCGATAGCCCTGTCAAATTTGTCGAAGGAAGCCAAATTTTATTGACCTCGGGGTCACCGATAACGTCACAGGTCAGGTCAAAAATAAAATGTTTCACCGTTCACGGGGCTTCTAGGAAAAGCGCTATAACACCGAGTAAAACGCATTTTGTCGAAAATCAGCTATAGGGCGTCAGTTGTCTAGTACATATTATGCTATTAGAGGTCACTTGTCATACCAGGTCAGGTCACAGGTCAGGTCACCAAAGGTCACCACATGAACCCAACTTTACTAAGGATGTGCGATGCATGTTTTATGGCCAGTTTTTTTCATTTCAAACTCAATGGTGTTCGTTATTAGACCATCAGGTACGGACGGTTTAGGTCACTTTCTGGTGAAGGTCAGGTGTCAAGGTCAGGTAAAAAAGGTCAAATTTCAAAGTTGATATTTTTGCATAAAATGGGTATTGATTCGATGCAGCTCGTCACGGGGAGTCTAATAGTGATCTTTGTCTTGCGCTACGAAATCTAGAATTGCTAAAAATTCATTTTGAAAATTTGACGTCATCAATTTTGAACAGTTTTTTTCGCTTTAACTTGGGCAAAAAAGAGGTATCGATCTCAAATTTGGTATGTAGATAGAAGGCGGTAGGGACTATCACATACCTTCCGTTTTTTCGAAATTCAAAAATATTTTTGTTTTTTTCGGCTATTACATTAAAAAATCTATTTTTTGATTTTTTTTGGGGTCAAAATCTAAAAATTTTAAAAATCCGAGACAGCAGTTTTGTAGTCCTCTAAATTCTACACCTTTTATGGCGAAACATTTTTATGTATCTCTAAAGCTGTACGCCTGACAGCTCTTCTCGTGAAACCTATTTTGGGTCGAAAATGGCAGAAATGACGTCACTCTGACGTCATTTCGTCCAACCTATCATAGCCTTTGGAAAATTTTGGTCACAATGTGCAATAGCTATTCACGGGAGGGTACTGAAAGTTTGGTGACGATCGGCGCAGCGGTTCTCGAGATATGTCGAAAAAACTAAAGGGGGAGGGGGGGGGCAAAAGATGTCCCCACCGCCTTGAAGGTTAAGCTTCCATGCCTCAGCATAACGATGCCGGCTGCTGCCACCTTGGGTGTATACCATACTACATATGTAATAGTTGTCAATTTGAGGGCCTAATACTTTTGTATGAGGGAATCAAGTGAGGCACAGCCTCGCCGAAAATAGCCAAGATCGATTTATTGTGATTTTAACTCGCGACCGCCTGGGGGGGGTCGGATCCGACCCCCCACCTCCGTTTTCCTTGAATAACTCATGAACCACTTTCGCTATCTACTTGAAACTTGGCATACCTTTTCCCACATCATTTTGACGTCTCCTGTGCAATTTTTAAGAAAAAATTTCCAATTTTTTTTTTGAGATATATCGGTTTTAGTGATGTAACTACATGGCGTTTTTAGTCAAAAAGTGGTGAATGTTTAAAAAATCGCCAAAAATCGCCAGGGTTTTAAGCAAATTGCAAATTAAGGACATGAATAGACGCACCTCAACAAGTTCTTTAACCCGCGCCCTGCTGGGGGGGGGGTGTTTGAACACCCCCCTTGTGTTTTTTCGCGAATATCTCAAAAACGGCGGCGCGGAGCGCCGCCGTTTTTGGTACACCTTATCATGCATCAATTCTACACATGTTGTGAAAATTTCAGACCGAGGTCATTCAAGGTCAGGTCACCAGGTCACTTGAAGTGTTTCAATGTCTGTCATAGCTACACCGAGTGACCGATCGCTTTGAAACTTTCAGCGATTGCTAAGAGCAATAGCATGTACAAAATGTATATCTCAGAATTTTGATATCGATGACCTAAGGTCAGGTCAATTTTGCGACCTCCCCATTATAAGTCAATGGGAGAAAATTGAAATGCGTCTCTTTCGGACGAGAGACATTATAAACACTCCCAAGCACTGAATTACAAGTGGTTTAGAGACACTGAACATGAAAATGGTGTCCGTGACCCCTGTTTATGCCCTGAGGTCATCTTAGGTCACGAATGGTATCTAACAGTTTTTCGCAAATAACTTTTGATAGAGGCATGCTAGAGCGATAAAAACACCTTAGATGTGTTCAGCTCGACGATACGGATCGACTGATATGCAACATGACCCTTTCCGGTCAGGTCATGACCTTGACCTGAGGTCAAATTTTCAAGTTGACCTTTCAAGGTCAAGTTATAGTTCATTCGATGCGTCTTGACGAGAGGAACACGATGCCGGTAAAAGTAAGCTCGTACAAGGCTTGGGTCAAAAGTTATTGCAGAAAAACTGTTTCCGAAAAAATCGGCTATTTTTGCAGTTTTTGCCCCCTGCAGGCAAAATCGTTGACGTTAGGTCAAATCTGAGAGAAATACTCAGAAAGGGCGTTAATAGGGCTATCGAATGCGCTTTTACGCGGCGCTGTAGCTCTATTGGTTCCCGAGTTATGCGTTGGCTTCTTGGAAATTTTCGACATTCGACCTGGAAATCGGCGAAATTTTGCCTTCAATGACCTCTGGTGACCTGACCTTTGACCTGACCAAAAAATTGACCGAAGTGATTTCGTCATTATTTTTGACGCTCTTTCGAACGCCGCCTTCCGCGTATCGCTACGTGGCCCAGGAGCCGAGTTAGAAGGGGGGGTGTTCAAACACCCCCCCCCCCCAGCAGGGCGTGGAAATCCAGGACCCCCAGCCGGGCGCGGGTTAAAATGGCTATCTCGGATTTTCCATAAAATGCGTTTTTCACCCCTAAAAATTCAAAAAACTATACTTTTTGGAAAACAGCTAATTAAATCCAAAATTTTGGGACATTCCAAAAAACGGAATATATGTTGTAGATCTCTATTAGAACATTAGATGCCCCAAGTTTCAACTTTCTATCTTGATTTTTTGACCCCTAAATTGTAAAAAATAGCTCCAACATGCATAGGGCATGGTGACGTCATAAGCATTTTCGTGAATTAGAGGCGCTTCTGAACATTGCATGTGAAAACAAATGGCAACACTGGGACAAAGCTCGTCTAGAAAAGTGCATTTTAAAGGAAGACTGCCACCTTCAAAAAGTTTTCTCAGCTCGGCCTATGATTTATTCCCTGGACAAAACAAAATTTTACAATTCACCTGACAAAGTATCATCATGTGAATCGCGAAAAAATTATCGATTATCATACAATTATCAATCAGTTAATGTCTAGCGACAATGTTTACACATCACTAGACTTCAAGGTCATAAGATTTTTACATTTTATTTGAAAAAGTAAGGTATTTTATGATTTACTAATATATGATTTCATAAGAAATTGGCCATGTTTAATTTATTTTACATTTAACTTCGTAAAACATTTAAAAGTCATGGCTTTATTTGGAATGGGTCTGGCCCATGTTAAACCCCATTTCCCACACTTTTTTGAAAAAATGAACTACTGAATATATAAGTTTAACTTTTATTTTGACACTCCAAAATTCTTCTCTGATCTCGAAACAATCAAAGTTTTGACATATATTTGCCAAAAGATAAGAAAATTAATGTTTCAAAGTTATCGATAAACAGTAGAGATGTCGGTTTTCTTGGACTAAAAAAATGGCATCAAACTGAACTTTGGTCTCCGATTTCTCGCAAAGGGGTTCGAATTTCGGAAAACCGACTTCAGTCTGGGACATAGGTGGCTCAGCTCTAGTGAAAACCGTTTTGTGAAAAAAAGGTGGCAGTCTACCTTTAACACGCGCACTGCAGCAGGTCTGAGCCGAACACGAACTGCAGGGGGGGGGTTGAAAACAACCCCCCCTGAGATCTCGAAAACGGCGCAACGTAGCGACAAGCGGTAAACGGCGTTGGATAGGTTGAGATGAGATCTACAAGAAATACAAAGATCATTTTTGGGTCAGGTCAAAAACGAGGTCACCAGAGGTCACCGAAGACAAAATGTTACGATTTTCACAACAGGAAGTTCGCGGTAGTTTTTCTTGAATAACTTGTCTTGCACAAAAGACAGAGAATCGATTCGAACGCCATCGTTCTTAGCTCGTCAAGGCGCATCGAATGATATATAATATGACCTCGAAAGGTCAAGTTGAAAATTTGACCTCAGGTCAAGGTCATGACCTGACCGAAATAGGTCATGTTGCATATCATTCGATCCGCATTGACGAGAAAAACACGATAAACGTCAAACGGAGTCTCTATCTCTATTCAATCTCAAGTTATTGAAGAAAAACCGCTGGTGACCTCAGGTGACCTAAGATGACCTGGAGATCACCTTCCAAAGGTCATAAGCGATATGTTTCGGTGAAATCACCAACAGGGACCTGTAATACTGTGATCCTGAGCGTATTGAAGTCATAGGATGGCATTCAGAGTAAGTTGAAATTTCTCCCATTGACTTATAATGGGC